TACAGCTCCTCTTTCCTTTGGATACACTTGTGAAGAGTCATATCTTTCGAGTCATGATCCTAAATCATCAGCTAAACAACAGAGAACTAACACTTTCTACCAAGCCGACGGAATCGAGATCACGGCAATAGCGTCCGTCAACNGTGGTCCTCAACAGATGTTGCGGAGAGCTTACACGCTCTTTTTTAGGTCATATCCACAGGGAATCTAGTCTAGGTGAAGTTTGATGGATAATTCTATTTACGTCACCGGTGACGTTATTTCTTATATACGTCACCGCCCGTATCTCAGCCCACAGAGCTTCACTTGGCACAAAATAATTTGCGTTGTGTAGCTATGACCCACACCAATCATACAAGCCTTTCGACGGTCAAATCCGATAAGTGGTTGCGGAGATTTGCTCAATAGGGGGCTCAGCAGTATGATACTACATCTACCACAAAGANACGTCACCGGTGACGTAAATAGAATTATCCATCAAACTTCACCTAGACTAGATTCCCTGTGGATATGACCTAAAAAAGAGCGTGTAAGCTCTCCGCAACATCTGTTGAGGACCACTCCCTCTTTTTACGTTGGTGTAGACGAACATGGTCACGATGGGAGGTAAGCCGCGGGTTCGATTCCATCACCTCGGTTTTTCTTTCTGCAAAAAAGAATCTTACACTTAAAAGGAAGACCCTATGACGACGATGGCGATGCATCGCTCGTGGACCAAAAATCAGGTTTCGATCTTGTGAAGGTTCTTTGTGGCGGAGGTGGTTGACCCGCGTACAAAAACAAGAGAAACAAGTTTGTGAAGATGAAAACGGGGACTTACTTCCAGCCGTTCGAGTTTCGGTTTCTACACTGCTTATTACCAGCACTCAAGACAGCCTCGGAAAGAGGGTCGGAAACATTAGTGTGGAGATCACCTTTTTCACAAAGGGCACAACGTCTCCAACGTCTGTCAAGGACGATTCCCTCTTTTGAGAAACACACCACAACGCCTGTAAGCCTTTTGGCCATTCGCCCTTCCTTTTCGTGCAAGCGCTGAATCGCTTCAAAGGACTTCGTTTCATCTCCGCACGTCTTTGGATATTAGGGGTCCTGGACAAAGCAAGTAGACTACGCATGTATAACTTTCTGTTCGTCATGCCCTCGCCTGCGTTTTGTCTCCTGGTTTTATGGACGACGTATACGAATCGTGTGCATATCTCTACGCTGTGTTCGGTTTTCGCGTAGGGCATGTCAGTAATTGTTTGGTCCAACGTTGCTTCTTCCCATCAAATGTCGAAAAGTGTGCATGTTTGCATCGTGTCATACCCATACAGCAGAAGTTCTCTCGTGCATCGGAGATCACCATCAGACCACCAGCGAAAAAACAAAGCTGTAGGCTACAGCAGTGAGGAAGAAAGGGCTTGAAGTCATGTTACCCATACTTCCTGTTTCTACGTCTGATTGCGGCAAAGCAGACACCCGGCGTTTGTTTGGGCACCCTCGAAGTCCCCTCGTGCTCCCTGAAAATAATGCGATCGACAATCGCCCCATTTCATCATCGAACGAGTCTATCGATGTTTACTGTCGACGAGCCCTTACGCCTCTGAAAATGAACGTTTTTGGTCCGATTTTCGACAAACGTTCATGCACAATGCCACCAACGTTTAATGCATAGAAGATCTTACGGACGGACGGATGGCCATCACAACAACCACAATCAATCACTCTTCGTGCTTCCTGATACCTTTGAAACAAGGGCAAACCTGCACGACACTTGAAGAGAACTTCATGAAAACATGGAACATTTGGTCCATCGACGTGCTACAGAGCAGCTGAGCGCAACACATCAGGTAGCGACGGGACTCGTTCTCCTCAAGCTTGGGGGAGAGATTCTATCAGCCTTCGGCTTGGCCGCCTCATCCTAGAACCGATGCGGCGTGCAGGTTCTACAGGGGATACGGGCGCGGCATCCGGTGCCGCCGCCTCTCCGACATCCCCGCCTTGTTGCTCATGATTGTCGCCCTCGGCGGCTTCAGCCGGTTCTTCTTGTTCAATTCCGATCCCGCCTTCTTGGTGACCGCCATATTTTTCAGCCGGTGATTCTGCAAATTTCAGGGGTCCAACCTCCAACAAGTCCAACCGTGACGGTGCGGGGCCCGCAGGCATGAGCGGGGCGTCGATAACACCCGCCCAGGGCACGGCCTGTGCATGGGGTTCGTCGTCATCGTTCACCGCGCCTAGTAGATCGTCCCAGGAAAGAGAGTAGGGGGCCTCCGGCGCTGCAGGAGGAGGGGAGGGCGCCTGCTGCTGCGGGGCTGGATCCGGGGGCTGAAAAATGTTGGGCTCGCCGGACGGTGCCGGGGGAAGGTCTTCTGGTGCCGGGGGAGGCGGTGGTGGTGCCGGCGAAGGGAGTAGTAGGCGGGTGTTCCCCAGCGGGCCCGAGTTGCCGGCTCGGGAAGGGACGCCGGCGGTCGCCTGGATGTCTCTGCCGTCTACCTCGCGCACGGGACAGCCCATGTTGTCGCTGAGCCCCGAAGGGGCGGCGGTCGCGTCTGGGAGCGAGAGTGCGCCAGCAGCGTCTCCATCGACCCGGTGTCTCGCCGCCTCGGGGTGAACACCACCGGCGGATCCGCCTTGGTTGTCCGGGTGGTCTGCGTGCCTAGCCGTAGGTACCGCCGGGCCGGTGCTTCCTCCAGGTTGGGGGTGTCTCTGTCTTTTTCGCTTGAAGTTTCTGTGCCCGATCGCACTTGATCCGGCCTCCTCCTCTTCTTCTTCATCCTCCTCCTCCTCTTCTAGTTCCTGCCCAAAGGAATGAAGGGACGAAGGAAAGCAGGGCGCGGACGGGAATATTCAGTGGTGTGGGCAAGGTTTAGGCCCCTCTTCGCGATCCTCTTGTGCCAGCACAACATGACGAAGTATACCTCAGCCCCACGACAGATGTACTGAATCTGCAAAGTGAGTAGATGGGTCGAGGTAGTTTTCGAGCCGTTCTTCGTTTTCGATACTCGACATTCAATGAAAGCGCATTTGGTCAGAGACTGATGGGATACATAAAACCCTCCGTGCCTATCCGTCCATTTGGTCTACGTCATGTTCGCCGGGGGTGCAGGTTTTGATGTAGAAGCAACAAGCCAGAACTTCAAGAACACAGTGGAAGAAGAAGCGTACCGCTAGGATATCTACCTCGCCAGCTGCGTATACCTGCATGAGCGTGCAGAAATGTAAAATGTGCCTGCAGTGATATACTTGCGGAGGTAGACATGCGGATGAGCACAAGGTGAGCATCTGTCTTGATCGGTTCGCCCCCACCATCGGCGATCGACCTTAAGCCTCAACCCCAACTGTCAGAGCTTGATGTTCATTGGGAAGGTTCTAGGTTCGTTTGTACGGGTCTTCCGCCGAAGCCACTTGAGCGCACATTCAAAAATCCCTACCGGTCCAGGGCCTTGCACACCAGCTCCCTCGCTCAGTGCCTCCTTTCCCTCCAGTTCCCTCTTCAACGTCGGACCAACTTCCTGGGACTGTCGAGGGCCATTTTCCTGTTTCAACCTCGTCTCATGCGACATGGCATCGGCCTGAGCAAAACGAACAAACACGAAACAATATAATTAGTGCATGAAGCGCTTCCTTTCTATGCCAGCCAGTATATCGTCGGTACATTCCTGCCCACGTGTGGTTACCAGGAGTTCGGTTACCAGAGGTTCTAGGTTGTGGGTTTGTCAGCGGACCTGCAAGGTACCAATGACTTGGCGGATACATCGTTCGTACCCCGTTATATGTGTAGATCAGGGGAGTGCCCGCACCAACGGCCCAACCACCGAAAATATGTTGAATCATACCTCGGCCTGGTTGGAGAGCTGCTCGCCGACGTTCGGTCTTGCAAGGCCGGCGAGCTCAACGATGTATTGACATCACTTGGTTGGAGGGCCAGTTCGTTCGCTGCGAATCCCTAGCTCAGCAGAAGCTTTTCCACCGCCTCGTTGATTGATCTCACAGATTGGAGCAGACGATGAATGGCACACGCCACGAGAGTGGGGTTTTCAAACAGCGAACGAAACTTTCGTCTGAATTCTCGGATGAAGAAGATAGGGATGTTGAAGAGAGATACCAGGCGCAGACACCTTGTCCTTAGGAAAGACTCGTGTTTTTCGCTTGGCCATGGTATAACGTCGATCCATGTCTACGACCATCAACATCACACTGCGATTCCGTCGTGCCTCGCAAGTTGGTATCTCATCGCATTCACCGCACACGTACACATTTCTCCACTCGACCGAAACATACCATGAGCGGGTGCTGAAGAGAGAGCCACATCTCATACTCCTCATACAACCTATCTTCCGACACGTCTTACCTAGCAACCATAGCGCCGCGTGCTATGGTCCCGTCCCCTTCGAAGAGAGGAAACTGTCTCGCAACCGTTCTCTGAGCTCCAGATACTTCTGGTCCCGCCCTCCGTAAGAACGTGGATGCATTTTGGCTGTAGGACGAAGAGAAGTAAGTTGTTCTCCTCGTTAATTTCACCGTGAACCACGGAAATGCGGTGAACCGACCTTGACACAGTTACCCATCAGGTATATACAGTACAACAGTATAAAATTCGTCATAAGAAGGTCAACATCAGCCGGCATCGAATGGCAGCGTAAACACAAAGTGAACGCCGTCGCGTGGCCACGGTATCTGGAAAAACCGTTGTGTACGTACCGTGGAACTACGGCCGTATTCGCACCGTGGATATACGAACAGGTGTGCGCCATTCATTACGCACTGACATGTCGGTGCTTATGGTGTAATTTCCCATTGAATATTCTTGATGGGCAACTCTGTCATGGTACCGTAGATTCACCGCATTACCGTGGTCCACGGTGCAATCAACGAGGAAGGCCCTCCGCAAAAAGGTCGAGCGTGAAGAGTCGCAAGGAGAAACCATAAGCAAGGTGTTGGATGATGGCGCAAGGAGTGCTTGCAACCAAACGAGCCCTCGTTACGCCCGCGGTCATTGGACCACGTTCGAGATCCAATGATTCTCAAGATGACAAGACCTGCATGGTAGAATCATACCAACGAAACACGAGAAAATTCGGTTTTGTTGCAAAAAAGATCGCTTACGCCGGATTGGAATCCCTAGCCATGGGTGGGGAAAGGTTGCGAGGATACCAACTCGACCACTGCCGGGGCGACCGTCTATCATGGGTTGACAAATTCGGACAAGGGTAATCAGGCCATCTGGGCGAGGAAAGCAACGCAAGCAGGAACGGAGAACGAGGTTCAACCACGTGGCAAATAGCAACGACATTAGCAAGGGATGACGAATCCGGCTGCGTATCAGGAGCGTACCACTGGAAATGGAGCCGAACGGGAAATCGTGTAATGGTAGAGAGGGGCATCACGAACCAGCGAAACAATGAGAGATCAGGAAACACAGAGACCTCTTCGACGAAAAGCAATGTATATGTACAACTACACACACTCATGTCGGACGTTATTTCTTTGTCAGTGCCGCTAAGGATTGGGGCGATTGTAACCCATCGTCTACCGAACGTACGTTCACTGTCGGCGGTGCGATTGCTAAAATCCGCGAACCAAGATACTTCCGGTGCCGACGGTCATACACGTGCGTAACGCAGCTACACAGTTGGGAGAGCTAACTTGGTTGCGTGGCACTCCTGATGAAGTACGCTCAGAACGTTGTTCCGCCTGTCTACATGGTGATTGCGCCCGATGTACACTGATCATAGCACAAACACCAAAGCGGTTTCGCCCGCGAGCTCGCTCCTAGCCGTGCACGCGTCTCGAATGTCGAGGGTTTGGCGGGACGCCAAGCTGGGAGTGACCGATCGGAGTCGGGTCAACGACGCGGAGCGTCATCTAACGAGCAACGTGTCTTGCGTACGTGGAATGAGACAATGCACCCAAGGGCTAGCGTTTAGGTAACCCAGTAGGCCTTTGTTCACGTCCTGAGCGTCCTGCTAGTAAGTGGTGGAGTCACGTCCTTTCGAGTGCGCAATCGCCTGACGTACGGGGAAGAGGCACCAACATCTACCTGTCAACACATCGTGAGGATAGCAACAGTCTTGGTCCGACCAGATTTCGGGGGCGGATCGATCGAGAAAGCTGGAGAAAGCAAGACATGCAACAACCGGCAGCATCACGCGCGGTTTTGAAACGGCGGAGAGTTGGTGATGATGTCGGGCAAGGGCGGGGTTGAGCGTCGCTGAAGCATGGAGGCACAGCAGAGAGGTGTGAAGGAGAGCAAGTTCGGAGGTGAGGTCGAGTTGACTTTAATTCTCTCTGCAGAAGCGTAGAAGAATCACCCGCGTCGGGGGTGAGAAGGAAGCGAGTAGGAGCCAATAGGCTTGCACCCAAGGGCCTCGGCGGTGCTCATGTTCGTGTTGAACGGCAGGAAAGCAGTAGGCGTTTCGTCGATTTCAATGGCAGCAAGTAATGGCGATTTGAGGACGGTTTATAGAAGTTATCAATGTTTGAACAAGTGCGAATAACATGTGCACAACCGACGGCAATGGTTGATCTGTTTTTCGTTACCGAGACAATGGGTACTACCAATCTACGCACGCTTTGATTGCACCTAATTTGTACCATCTTCAATTCTGTATTCAAGCAGCCGACGAGCGTGAAGCAGAGGCCCGGAGCAGCCACGGCGGATACAAACCTCTGGAAGGTCGAACGTTGTAGGAGAGGCACGTTAGCGCGCCAGAGGTAGACGTTCAACGCAAAAGTCATGGTCAGGTCACGGACCTTCCTGCCCTGCTGAGAAATAATAACAAAGGAAACCAAAGTCTGTTGGAGATGACCAGGAGGTCACGAGGTACTGCATACGTAAATGTCCAACTCGATGAACCTGGCGAGCAGCGAGTGAAGAACTGGGAGAATCGCAATGAATCTGAACGGAGTTGCGCCAAGAACGCGAGAATTCAGGAGAAAACAAATACGGGAGACACCGTCGTGGTGTCGATCGTCAGCAGAGAGTAGTGGAACAAGCTGTGCCAGCAGGTAGGGCCGCAACGTCGGGCGACGGAAGAGTCGAACACGACGCGGCATTGTGGTGAGACACCAGTCACTTGCCCCGGGTCGACTGGACAAGATCGGTCATTGTGTAAATGAGGACGATGGTCTTCGAGTGGCGGGATGATGAGACGAAGGCGGGCAAATGAAGGCACAGGAACGGTTGAATCGAGAAAGCCAGACCAGACCAAGATACACCACTGCGCGAGGCTTTGGAGCGGCCAAATTAGTGATGAGGGCCGGGGCGCGGGGTGGAGGAGGCTTTTCATTGAGGCATCCGCCGTAGAGGTGGAATGGAGGAGTGGTTCGAGGGTGAGGGCGAGATGGTGTCCTTTCTGCCCAGCTTGAAAAAGGTGTGTTGGGAGCGGGAAGGAGAGGAGTAGGGTCCTGTAGGCCCGCATCCTATGGTCACGACAGTGTCCATGTCGACAGGTGTTTGCCGAGCAGAGGGGGCACGGGGCGTTGCAGAGCTAATGAGACTATGCATAGGGCCAGTGGACACTGAAATGATGTGTGAAGCTGTTTACCGACATCGGCATGAACAAAGAAGGGGCCGTAACAATCGGTCCGAACGGGGGCCGCAAGAATCGGCCCCAAAGTGCATTTGTACTATCGGAGGACGGGCCTGCTGAGAAAAAACGGCAATGTACTCCTCAGTCCATTCTTCGATTATCCCCCCAAACTCAACAAGAAGAGCTTTCTTCCTTTTCGTCTGGAGAACTGTAAGACTCGTCAAGGTATATTCCGTCGCGAA